AATTAAATCTAGCAATATATGCCCACATCTGTGTTAAATTAGCCGATACGGTTTTCACTGTAAATGCTAATATCGGCCGATATTATCGGTCGGCTGATTAATCCGTCGAGCTCTCGCTCTGACACACCTCAGTGTGAGTTCAACTTGCTACAAGTTGCATGACTGCACATAAAACGTACACACAAATTGGTATTATACATTTTCCATAAAATGGTGTCAACATAAATTGAAATGTTTTTATAAGCTGACAGATTTTATTGTACCTAATTTAAGGCCCTGAGTGCTCCAGTTAGCTGTGACAGTGAGCCGACGTGCACTACACCTGAGCTTTGACACTCAAGCAGCCCAATTAAATTCAACCATCATACGTTTTATTAGTATCACTTTTGTTTTCTGAATGTGAGTTGGCTTGGATGAAAAATGGCATTTAAAAACCAAGGGGTAGCAGAAAGAACTCCCATGATTCCCTGCAAGCCTCAATGTTATCTTTTGTTATTGTATTTATTGAGAGCCCCCTGGTGGCAGAATCTACATATTGTATCTTTAATGGTGGAGGTCCTATTTAATCAGATTGATGGACGTAAAAACAATGTATCTCCATATGACAATTTCCTTAATGTTTCATCATTCTTACTTTGATATGTTTCTTTCACTGTAGGCTTTCTGTATTTTTAGAAAACAGTCCTTCATAAATGTGGGTCCCAAATCTGCACTATTACTCAATAATTAAAAAAGATGCTTCAAAATAAGACCTAGGAAAACCACACAGACACAAAAATTCAAAGACCCCCCACTGCTGCCGAGTTGCATGTCACAGCTGTTCACAGGCAGGACCGAGTGGGCCTTGTTGGAGCGAAGCAGCAGACCATGAAGCCTCGGTGTCATTGTTTTGGATCGATGGCGAGGCAGCGCAAAGAAGGTCAAGTGAAGGTGACATTGGACAATCCGCCAGAGTTGGCCAGACGGTCGGCACCAGGTCGCCCAGCTGGAAGGGGGAGCGGTCTGACCTGAGCCGGGGAGTTTTTAAACCTCAATGTTGGTGGCGGAGGAGCTGCTGCTAATGCTTTCAGCTAACTGGGGAGTGCCGGGGCTGCCAGGGCTTTGCTTAGGGAAGGAGATGTTGGCTGCAAAAAAAGTTGCTGGAAGTTGCCAGAGACGTCATTATGTGATTTGTGTCTCTCTAGTTTGTGCTGAGAGACAGCAGCAACGGAGGCAGCGTTATTCTTTCTTGAAGTGAAAGTATACTGACTCATACATACACTCATACATAAATATTTATTTTGCCCTTAACTGCCCTGGGTTATATTTAAATGTTTTAAAAATGGTTCTTGTGTTTACCAAATTACTTACTGGTAGGCCTCTCCAAAGGAACACAAAATACAGATAAGGGGTCCTGCAATGATTGATAATATAACAGAAGATAACACTGGTACGCTCAACAAATGAAACAGCATTCCCAGATAATTGCCTAAATCGCTCTATTTTTATTGAATACTGGATAATTTGAACTCTTTTCTGAGCTTTTAGGAGGACACGTCTTTATGGTAAACAGGGAACAACTCAAGGGCATCTGTAACAGGATACGACCAGATACTTGTTTCTGTGAAGATCACAAGAGACAAACAAGCCAATTTGGCACTTTAAGACTTCATGATAGTTTCCTGCACATTAAATCTCATAAACAACAGTTGTCAAACATGTAAAATGTATTTCCCTCTGTGAAAAATATGGTGGAGTAGATTTATAAAGGAGCATAGCAGTGAGTGTCTGAAATAAAGCATCAGCACTCAAATACATCAACTAGGATTAACTGGTCTTGATTAGATGGCGTGTAATTGGTTTCACATATATTTTACGACTTTAAGACTTAATCAATAATTGCAGGTAAAGAAACCCTTTATGGTGTTGAGCACAGGAGTACCCCAGGATCTACCCTGGGGCCACTTCTATTTGAATTGTAAATTAATGACATTACAGAAGAATTACTAAAATTGTAAAATGTTTCTTTATGCTGATGATACAATTTTATATTCTTCTGTGCCCTCATACAGTAATGCTCTCTTTGATGTATTCCAACACACTCAGGTTGGTCTCAAACTAATGCTGAGCCCAACAAAAAAGTGAATACATAGCCGCATTGATGCTGCCTCGTCTACTTTGAATACTGTAAACTGTGGATGTATTCAACAAATTAAGTACAAGGGTTTGGGACTTAAAGTCACACATTTAAAATTGAACTGGAAAGCTTAAGGCCTTGACTAGTGTTTCTTTATAGAAATAAGTCCTGCCTAAGATTGAGAAATAGAAGAAAGATTGTGCAAGCTAAACACATGCAGCTGCTTCTGTATTGAAGTCATTGGATGCAGTAAATCACAGCACACTTAGCTTTATCACAAGTCACAGATTTCAGACTGACCATTGTGACCTATGTAGCGGTGTAGGCTGGCCCATCGTTAGGTCAGCAAAGAGAGCAAAACAGTATTCTGTTCTCTCATCTAAAAATATTTCAAGCCAAATAACCCGATCCCAAACCTGGGATCAAGGTTTAGGATTGAATAGGAAAAGACGACTTTTAGTATTAGTGCACCCAATGTGTGGAATAGTTTTCAAATGATAGCTAAGCTGCCCCCTTGTGTATCATGTGGTATTTTTAAAGAGTTAGTGACTGCACTACAAAGTTATTTCAACTTTTAAAATGTGACATATTAAATAGACCATGGCTTTGAAGTTATGAATGTATTTGTCATTATTTTAACTGTGTTTATATATGTCTATTTTGTTCTTTATTTTATTGTACTACTGCAAGGCATCACTGGAAAAAACTTTGTTCTGCATGGGTCCTCCCTGCTAAAATAAAGGATACACAAAAATAAAACTAATACACTTTGTGACTCTCTACCAGCAACAGACAAAATTACATTTATGATTTGGACAAATAAGAAATGGCCACAATGCAGGGGTTGCAGTTTGAGTTATTGTTTTTTTAAATGTTAGTCTAATTGAGAGTTCATTATTAAAGGTTTGTTCTAAAAGCCATACGTTTTGAGGTGTTTATTTTAAGGACAGTGAAAATGTGAGGAAGGAGAAAGCTAATCTTGTGAAAATATTATCATGCTGTAACATGTGATGTTCTTCGAGCTTTGCCTCAAGCATTATTCTGTAGTCGCACTGAGACATTATATTGCTGTTTGCTATTTAATATATTGCTGCCTTTGTGAAATACTTTGTAACTTGGTTTTTGAAAAGTGCTTTATAAATACAACATATTATTTTAATCATATAAACAGTCATCTTCTTGCTCTCTCCTTCTTGGTGAGTACTGTATTTCTGCATACAGTCTGCCACCATCTTTTGTGTGTTCCCTCATCAGACTATACACTGTTTACCTCTTCCTGATGGAGTTGACAAATTAAAAGCATTATTTAAGTGGCTGCAGGTGGAGATGGAAGTGTGCGGATCAGCCACTGTGTCACTGTATTTCATCATCAGAGGAGTCGCGCCGTTTGCTTCAGGTGAGCCGACATTAGTCTCGGCGCTGGAGGTCAAATCAATACATTTCAATCAGTTGACTCCCAGTTGACAGCAGTTTGGTGGTTACACTGGAAATGCCACACCTACCAACTCCCCCAAACAGAGATGTCCTTCTGCATACACAATTAGCTCTTAAAACTGGTGACTTCTTCCAGGAGACTGGAAGCAAAACGGTGATCTCACAGTACGTACGCTAAAACAGAACACTTCCTCTGATCTAAATTCAAGACGTAGGCTATCTTTCCAACCCGACTGTGGACTTTGTTCAACAGTCTGCTCTCTGTTGACATAACCTGCACCTTGAAAAATGAAGAGACCACTGCAAAAATATTTTTCCTCTGTTTCTACCATTTACAGGCTGGTGTGTTGAGTACAATTTTTTTTTTGTTTAATTGTGTACAACATTTCTCCAAACTTCTAAATAAAATATTCTCATTTAGGTTTATTTTTTCAGAGAATGACAACTGGCTTAGATAACAAAAAGATACAGTACTTTTCCGGGGTTAGGGTTATTTTTAAAACAGAAAAATACAAATGTTTCAGCTGGGGGGAGAAATGGGATTTGGTGGAATAAACCTGACAGCTTTTAATGCATCTTGGCATGCTCTCCATCAGTCGTTCACATTGCTGTTGGGTGACGTTATGCCACTCTTGGCGCAAAAAAAAAAAATGTAAGCAGCTTGGCTTTGTTTGATGGCTCGCAAGGTGATCATCAAATCAGTAGCCTTCCCTCGATAAGCAGAATGAGGCGTAGACCAACCTGTCTGGAAATTCCACAGACACTGGCAGAGGATGGATAACATGCATGTGAAGTAAAGACACTGAGTTAGGGAACATTTTGATTGGTCTTTTTATTTTTTCTGGAGCTGTATATGTGTTCAGGACTATTGGCTTAGTGAATGAAGTATACTGAGTGCTAAATTAAAGTGAATGAAAGCTGCAGTAAATACAATTAAAGGCTTGAAAATGTATGATTTTTGCATGAGAGTTTGGTTTATCAGGTTGATATTTAAACAGACCTCATGGGGGGGAAATGCATTTTTTTAAATCCTGCAATAACATGATGTAAAATGTTGGGGGTTTTTTATCTCAAACTTCACTTTCTGATAATGAGGATTACAGTTACAAGTATGACTTCACTATTATTGGACGGACAAAAATATACTGCAGAAAGCGGTTGTTTTCAGACTTTGATATTAGGAAGAAAATAAATTCACTTAGGCTATTTGTGTCTTCACAGAAATATAAATCAGTTAAGCTACGGATAAATATTTCCTATTAGAATGAGGAGACAATGACTCGTCATAAGTAATTGTTTCAGTCCTGATTAGTTATTGATGCAGTGCTGATGGTCTCCAAATGAAACAGTGGATAAAAGAGTGGATCTGTGCGCACTGACTGGCGGGAAAACTCTTAACGGCTCTCGAGAAATGGTTTATAGTGGTAAAAAACGCTTAAAAGGCTCTTACCTGTAATTGTCCCACTCCCTTCCCGCACCTTAACGCCCTCTCAAACCATCGGTGGGGCTGCAGCTGCTGCTACAATCCAGAGTAGTGTCTGTGATGTGGAGACATTTGCGTCCTGGACTGATGATCAAACGGGAGTGGTGGCTTTCTTTCCCCCCCCCACTGGTGTAAAATCAAACAGCCTTAAAAGGATCAGACACGATTCTTCACCTACTTCTTTTTGAGGCGGTATAGCGTGGGCACCTCCACCGCCGCACAGCCGAGTCTCTCCTGCATCCAAACCTGCTGCGTGTTATTATCCCGATAGAGTCCAAAAACAACCAGGAGCCTGTTCAGACTCTGTGTTTAATGACATGTAACTGCGTCCTGTTGCTGCGCCTTTTCACAAAGAGGATCAGACCGCACACCTCGTGTGAACAAGATGACTGTCTCAGAGCGGGATCGATCCTGATCAATCACTTGAGCCTCCAGTCTTTACTCCGCCGCGTCTCAGCCCAGTCTGACAGCTCAGCTTGTGCGCACTAACTTTTATGGAGACTCCGGAGCGCACAGCCGCTTCCTCCGCCGGTAACGCGTTACAGTACGCAGATTACTGAGAGGGATTTGTGTCAAGTTGTCATTTAACGTCTTATTTTGAAAGTCATAAAGGTTGATCCGCGTGTTGCATTTGTCACATTATAATGAACCCCAATGTGATCATTAATCACTGCCTTACTCATTCGTGGTGGTGTCACATTCTTATGCAGATAAATAAACTGTACGGTTGTTAATACATTACTCATTTTGGAAATTTGTAGAATGATGATTCTTCAGTCGGAAAACTGAATGATTTGGAATTTGTCAGAATAGGCTGATTACGACATAATCACTATTTCAGGCAGAGTTATGCAAATTAGGCATTACCAAATTAAATCACTTTAAGTGGCAATTAATACGTAATGAGATGCATTCGAGTAATGGGGCTCAACAGTCCCCCTGAGATGTCAGCAATTCCACGCAAAAAAAAAATGTTTTTTTCAATCCAACATCAAGTGAACCATTTAATGATCGATAACCATAGTTAATCCTATAAATGATCCTTATAATGAGAGGCGCATGTTTGATGAACTGTTGAACTGTGGGCATTGCTGTTCAAAAGTGGTCCAGTACTGCCCTCTTGTGGATATTTGAGGTTTTTCAGGCAGAGGAACAAGGGTCATTTCTATATTAAAAATGATTATCATGCATGTAAGTAGCAAAGTGGCTTTTTTACAAGCAGAGGCGCTGCTTGTCAACAGGCACAGGAGGCAACTGCTTTGGGGACCCAGACCAGTAGGGGCCCCTGAGGGTTGTTGCCCTCCTCAGCGTTGCATGTATGATTGCTGTGAAAACCAAATTTCCCAATGGCAATCAACAATGAAAAAATAGGAGGAGTCATCCGTGCATAGGCGAAAAAAAAAAAGAAACAGGAACAAAGAAGAAAAGGGGGTAAGTGTTGGGACTCTGGCAGACATTAAAGAACGTCAATCCCCCACAGACTCGCCACTGCTTATAAGATGCGCAAAAGCACATCTTGAAGCCTTATTCTACTTGAATAGGAATTAAAAATATTCCTTTTATATTTTTATTGATAGTAAGCGAAGACCATAAAGTTACTGTATCTGTAAACTTTATATCCTTTGGTAAACTGTTGCACATTAAGAGAATTTTCCTAATTTTCTGTCAACTGTGATTATGATGATCGTTAGGAAAACTCCCAGTAACTGGACGAGTAGTTGTTAAATGATGAATAAAGAAGTGCATTATAATGGCATATAAAGAGCCTAAATGAAACTACAAAGAATTTTATCATGCAACCGGTTCATACATATTCTCAGTGAAGGATGAAATGTTCCTGAGTTATCCATTTTGTACCCAAATAATATGGTACAATTTCCATGAATGTGTTGTAAAGCTATAGTGTCCCCTATTTCCCTAATCACAGTGAGGATGGGGGGGCTGGAGCTGAACCCAGCTGTCATTGGGGGAATGGTTGCCAGGCAATCAGCTGACATATAGAGACAGACAGCCACACTCACAGGCAATTGAGTCAGCAATTAACCTAATGAGCATGTCTTTGGGCTGTGGGGGGAGGCTGGGGTGCTTGGTGGGGGCCCACACATGCATGGGGAGAACATGCAGACTCCACACAGAGAGACTCCTGTCTAATGGGGATTTGAACCAGAAACTGTCTTGCTGTGAGCAACAGTGCTAACCACTGCACCACAATGCAGCCTGCTATTACACATGTTCTTTGAGATAAAAGCACAACTTCTGGTTTGTGTCGATTCTGGCACCCTCTTGTGGACATAGCGGTATGTCCTACCTCTTTGTGGATCTTGTCTCTAACATGTCTGACGCGCTGCTTGTTAACAGGCAAGGCAGGCAACTGCTTTGGGGCCCCAGACCGGTAGGGGGCCCCTGAGGGCTGACAAACTTCAACCAAAGCAGTGGCCCAAAATGTGCAAATTTTGCAACGACAGTAGGAAACCTCCCTAAGGGGCCCCCATCTGACAGCACTCACTGTCGTTGCCCTGCTGAGCGCTGCACGCATTATTTTAGTGAAAACCAAAGAAAAATGAAGAGGAATCATCCGTCTACAGGAGAGAAAAAAGAAACTGGAAAAAAGAGGAGTTAAGTATTGGACACTGGCAGACATGATGGTGGTGAACGCTGGTTGGAGGGCCCCCCCAATTGTTTTTCACCAAGGGCCCCAACAGACTCTAGAATCCCCATTGCATGTCAGTAGCATTTGTTACAAAAAATATCATCTTGTATTCATTTTGAGACAAATGTGTCACCTATTGTGAGTTTTTGATGTGAAAAAAAGTCAACAAAAGAAGGCTGTTTTTCAGCATGCAGTAAATTGTCTCATCTGACCCCTAACCCCAGGAGGTTGGGTTGCAGATATTTAAATTTTCAATATCAAAGAAGTAGATCTTGAAGCGAATGGTCTTGTTTTCTTTTGTAGGTCACAAAGATGCATCACTTTCATTAATGTCTAAAAACTCTTCACTCTTCAAATGAATGATTTTTGGTTAAATGCATTACAATCAAAGTACAGTCCACACAAAGTGAATACAGTTTGATCAAAAATGTTTATTCCACTGTGAAAACATTCCTGTCACACACACACACCCAAATTTTCTTTTTACAAACAGCAACATTGCGCAGTATAATGCATGTGAAGGGACAATAGAAATCAGAAAAGTGACTTAAGCACAAAGTGATTGGCTTTTGCAGTTTTGAGTTCAGAAATAAAAAGGGAACAAAAGTCCTCCCGGCTCCATCCATCAGGAGAATCAAAAAACAAACTGATGCTGCTTCGACTTCAGGACTATATCATCCTAAGGCAAACTCAAGAGAGATCAGACGTCGTGTCTCTCCGACTGATACGAGCAGACGTCCACGGGCTCCGGTTTTAACGACGATTGTTCAGGCTGCTTCTGGAAGGCATCGGCGGCTGTAGTAGATGGAAGAAGTTCATGGACTCGCTTTCCCAGAGTTCCTATGCATTCCTCTTTGATGTAGGTTTGTTCGTAAGAGTCGGACTCCAGGTGCTCCAGCCGGTCCGTCTGTCCGTTCATTATCTCATCGGGCGTTTTCATGAACCTAATGGAACAAGACAACGGCTTATTTTGGATATTTCATGACATCAATAAATCGCCTCGTTAGTTTAAACGGCGCCTTTGAGTCAATTTACCTGAATAGAAGTCTTTGTCCCGGTTCTTTCCTGATTATGTTCAGTTTGTAGTAGTGTCTCAGTGCTCGCGACATCTTCTCGTATGTCATATTGGTCCGGTTCTGTACAAAATAAAGAAAACAAAAGTTTCATGAAACGGGCTGTTTTGGTATTTTGAGCTGCACTTGTTACTGATTTGGCCACATGGGGGCTGAAGAACTCCACAACAAGCTGAAAACATCTGACATAGACATCAATAAGCTGTTATGGTGAATAGATAGTAAATAATTGGGCGTTTTCAAGGCTAAACAAATAAAGCTAAAAGGGGCTCAAAGGCTCTGAGGAGCTAAAGGAAACCTGCAGAGTTGGGTGATCAAGTCCTTCAATAAGAGCATCATCATTTTGTTCTATAGTTTAAAGTGCATCAAAGTCTATGCATGGTACAGATCTGTATGCCTGCTGAGTTACACAACTTTCACTGAGGAGACAAGAGACAAGTGAGATGAACACACCCTGGTTATCTTTTAGCTATAAGTAAGGGTTCACAACCCTAAAGGCTGGCGTACACTGAATGATTGTAGAAAGGTGGTGGTGTAACGTCAGCTCACACTGTACAGCTGAATCGACGACCAAAGTTCACGATTTATGTGCTCACACTGAACGACCCTGATGTCGGGCACGACCTGAGAGCTCACACTGTACCAGTGAAATCAGGACAAAGCTTTCACAATTGTCAATAGAAAGCTCCCAAAGATGGAGGGTTGAAGTCAGATCTGTGTATATTTCAGTTGTGTCTAAAACAAACACTGGCAAAAATGCTCTCACTCTTTCTCACACACACACACACACACACACACACACACACACACACACACACACTGATATTTCCTACCTACGTTTCTTTCATGATAGGAGGGGGAGGACAGATTGAACAGGTATGCCTGCTGTTGCCATGGTGATTTTGGATGTTGCCCGTCAGTTAAAGCAGGTTAAAGCAGGGGGAGAAAAGTCCCAGAGTCGGGGAATCGGCTCGTGGCTCCGCTCTCGCGATGCGAGTGTGTGCAGTCGTCAACCAAAATTCATACATGCCAGAAATCAAGGCCGGAATTGACACTTGATCGAGCTGATAATTAAGCTCAACTTCAAAATTAATCGTTTCACTAAAATGTCAGGTCTGAATCAGGCTAAAATCGTTCAGTGTACATCCAGCTTATCATAAGCGATCACCCTGAGAGTTCAACACAAAGCACTCAATACATGTTACAAGTGGTCGGGTCGGGACTAGCTTGTTTACATAAAAGGGGGAAGTCTTTGCAGCTGATAACTAATTGCAACCATGAACAAATCTCCTCTCAGCAAACAGTCATAATTTATGAACTCGGAGCAAACTAGAGCTGGATAGTCTCCGGCTGTGAGGTGCATGTGTAAACAAGAAAGTCATTTCAGGGGCAGTCTGCCTGAACCTTTCTAGAAATTGTGTGCACATGTGAAATTGGTTACTGAGGTGTTGTGAATGTGTAGGAATGGGATTAGTTAATACTGATGAACATTTTTAATCAAACCCAACACAGCTGTCTGCGTGTTTACCTTGTGGTTTCCCCACAGCCTGGCCAGGCCATTGGGGTCCATGATGCGGAAGACTTTGCTCTCTGGATCCTCCCATCGGATGTAGTTCTCGTACCTGCTGTCTGACAGGAGCTGGTAGACGTAGTCCCACAGCAACCTGCAGTCTGCGAGGGCAAACCGGAGAAACACAAAGAAAGGTCAATAAAGATTTAACCATGTGTAGCGTTAACCTTCATGTTTAAAGGGTTAAGTCTTACCTGCTATCCGTCCGATGGGCATC